GATGCCGATAGCAAGTTCGCAAATGTCGTCCCTTGAATACTACAAGTTGAAATTCTGTTTTCAGCTGTTTGTTTATTTAAAATCATGTAGATTTCTTGTGTGGAAACATATTCTCCAAAACCTCTTTCGGAATTTATAGGAAGTGTACAAGTAGTGATTAAATAACACGCGAAGAACAATCACAGGTCTTCTGTTGGGAAGTCAAGTATTTTTTTTTTTTTTTGGTTCTCTGACTCCTTTTTTCTCGACAGCCTCCATAAAACCATATATCAAACGCTTCAATTGTTCTGGTTTATTGTTCTCCCTAGTATGGCAATATTCAAGAACGCATTTTTATGGACAGCATATTCTTGTATTTCTTGTTTTGTTTCTGTAAGTAACTTAGATCATCTACACCGGTTTTTGACCAAAGAAAATCCTCAAGCGTAGCAAAAATGAAGCAAAGGAAATGTTTTCAGATGTGGAGTTTGTTGGTAATTTCATACCCTTACATCCAGCTATTCCTCTGATAAATATAACGTTTAAATGTTCTACTAAAGATATTGATTTTACTGTTTCTTTGTACCGTTATATCAGTAAAATGTCTGACTAGTTAGTTATTCTTACCTTATCTTCCACTCTTAAGGTTTGCAAAACTGGTATTTAAAAAGTAATGTATTCTATTTTTTCGTCTTAAATTCTCACCTGTGTTCGATCACATAGTAAACTACGACTAGACATTTCTTTAAGAAATTATGTCAATATTGTTTTCTGGTTTTTTCTTATACTATATAACATTTAGTATTAGGCTTTGTTATTGGATATTGTGAAGAACATTTCAGAGAATAGGGCATGTCTTGTTTGCTAAAAACTCATATTTTTTGAAAATTGGAAAATCCAATGGTTTTTGGCGTCTTCCTAAAATTAAAATTATGAAGATCTACATTTTTTCTTAATAAAATGTGTTCATGAAAAACATCTACAAATGACAACTACAATTTTTTTTAAACATGAGTATTCTGTTAAGTTTTGTCAAAGATAAGCATTTTTATTTTCTTTAAATCATTTTATTATTAAAACATTAAATTGGCACTTTAGTTAGCATGTCAGACGCCTAAGAGAATTGTGTAGGCATAATGTTCGTTGAAATGCCTGATCTTACTAAAATTAAAAATAAAAATCCGCCTCTTCCTTCAACTACAATTGTTAAGATACTTTTTTCTTTATGAAAGATATTTATCAAAAATAGATCTTCAAATAAGATCTTCATTTTTTTGATAATATGACTATTTTCGTGTAATTTGCCGACAAACATAATCGCTTGCTCCGAATTTACCTATCTTCGTGAACGTAAATCCTGTTAGCTGGATGCTTAGAAGTTAGAATTTGTATATTATTTCATATTTTCCTGTTCGTGTCTTACGTTCCACCTTTTGTTATACATTTACACTTTAATCTTTTAGAAAATATTTAAAACTTAATTTAAATATATGAAATAAAAATTTCGTGTCTTCAGGGAATATCAGATGGGAATGCAACAGTGACTCAGTAGCTAATTTTTGTGAATCAAGACTTAGTGTTGGGACATGTAGCTGTATGGAAAGCAGTTATAATTGTCAAATTTGAGTTGATGTTTGCTTGGTAATATGGAGTTTTTGCACCAAATGCCGTACGATTTGCAATGCGTTTTACAACAAATAATGTCTGAGGATGTTAATTCGAAAAAAAAAAGTTGTTTAAATAGAATTGCATAAATGTTACTGAATGTGAAAAAGTACGCACTGTACTAGTCTTCTGTACTAGCTCTACTAGTCTTCTTTGGAATAGAAATGATTAAGATTCCTTAAGAATCTCTCTCGCTTCGTCTGATTTTGAAACGAACGAATGTCGTTCTTGTATATCCGCCTCCCTTCGTCAGGTTCCGGAGTCTAGAGCTGGTCTTATTTTATTCCACAAAGTGAACCTCAAACCCCTTGCGCGTCAGCATTGTGAAAAGTATCGGATCGACGTGCAATCAACTGAAACATTGATCTAATATTTCATTGGGGAGCTGCACTAAGATATGTAATACGTATTTACTAACAGAAATTTCCTGAAATTATTCTTATCTCGGAAATTTATTAGGCGTTTACCGACACGTTTAACCCCCTGTGTAAGTAACCAGTGGTAAACTTTACTGTAAATGACCTCTACATGAACAGTACATAAATAGGTACTCACCCGACGGTCTTCAAAAATCACGGTTCTCACTTTGTGGCATATTTCCTTTGAATTTGCTGGATCGGACCGCCCATATTTTAGGTCATCTTCAATCGATACCTAGCTCCGGTTAATTTGGTTGACCTCGAATTTTGTTTGGTAGTAAACGCATGTCATAATAAACATCATTATTACCTCTCGTGGTTTTCTTTACCCTCCGTCTCTTTCTTAGAGAGGAATTTTATCACTGTTCAGTTCCAAATCTCCCTTTTTCTGTTGATCTACGTACATGACACTGCTCTATTCATTCCCTTTTTTCTAGCGGTTACGCCAGATGGATATGTAACAAAGTCTTCCAAAACTTGTCCTAACTTGTATATGCAAGCTTAGCTCTCTGTCAAGGTCTTACAAGATATTGAGTTCACTAGTTGTTGAACATCCCACATTTATTACTTACTCGATAAAGGAAATTAAATTTTCGGAATGTATATGATAAAGAATTCGAAACAACCCTTGTTTTGCTTCTGGACATTAATGTAACTACATGATCTTTGCATCTTCTAGAATTTCGTATAACCCTATATTTATTCAAATTATCATTCTCCATATTGTGGCAGGAAGAATTATTCCTTCACGAAAGACATGACGAGGGATGCAAGCTCAAATGTATTTTACTAAAATTTTACTATTTTTTAAAAATGATTTACCCTTGAAAATGTATTTTATTACATGGGAGCGATTATTTTGTTAAGACTCTTTGCAAAAAATTCTCATTTCTTGCTGCATTGAAAATTCAACAAGTACATGGTACCAATATCTACAAGTACAAGTACATATAGTTGTATATGTTTTAGGGTAGGGATCACAGAATTATGAAAATGTGTACAGAATTCACTTCTTCCAGTAGTACGTCAGACATAGTTTTTAAGTGTTTTTGATATTTAAAAAATATAAAAATACTAATGTGTTTAAAAAGTAAGAGATATCATTTAAAGATCTAAACTTGGGAGCTGGGGAATCTTTGATTTTAATATCGGAGGTGTAGGACACGTATTTCCTCTATTCAAACAAAATAAAAAATAATTGTAGTCATTCCAAAAAAAGGCACAAGGGCTTTATAAAAAGTCTAAAAATTTGGAGATAGAATTGTTGCGGTGATGTCAATTCTTTACGGTATGTAAACATGAACCGAGATATGAAAGTATTTCATATTCATTGCTTTGAGATTACATTATGCAAAAACGTATGCAAATGTATCTGATAGACTGAAAACTTAATCTTATTCGACGTGAAAGAAAGAAAAGGGAGTTTCGCATGAAAATACGAGTATTTTCACGAAAAAATACCGGTATAATTGCTTTAAATTAATGTATTTTACTGGTATAGACGTCAGAAGAAGGTAAAATACCTGTATTTGACGTCTTATACCGGTATTTTTAAAGGTATTTTGACGAAAGGTATAATAAAGGTAAACTACTTCTATACCGGTATAAAAATACGATTACCGCTATTATTTTGGTATTCGGTTCCTGCTCAAAATGTGAACTATCTAACTGTTTAACATTTTAGGTGCATTTCAGAATATGACAATTATTTTTGGAAATTCCTAATTTGGAAAGATTCTAAAACTCGTGCTAGCTCATTGGTCAATGTACTCGTAGGATACACAAATTCTCCTTCTGGTTGAAGTGTAGGCGAAACGTGCACTCCTATCTGGACTTTTAATTTTATTTTTTTTTAATTTAATGTTAAGAAATGTAGAACTCTTCGTGAGTGGATGTCGTATTTTTTTATCACTTGACACCAAGCGTACGCTTTTTTGCAGTAATAAATTGTTATTTCTGTTTAGTGGTTCTTGAGTTAGGATCCAATAAAAAAAAACTTTATATTACGGACGTTTCGGTCATATATTTGGCCTTCATCAGGGCTAAAGAACAGATACATTATTTTTTAGTAACAAGAATATGTACAATGAAGTATTTCATTATAGCTGAAATTACAAATTAGTTTGTTATCATTACAGTTGTTTACCTGTGGTGTTATCAGTAAAGTACGTCGTATATTCTGTAAGTTCTTAGTGTCTATGTAGATCCAACTCGCATACATCATTAGAATTCGACTCTGTGATAAACATTCTACACGTGTTGTGCATCGTATGACGCGTCACCCGTGATAACGTGTGTTGAAGTTATGCTAGTGTTGCCAAAATTCATATTTTTGTATATATTTAAAACTGTATCTGTTTTGTAGCTCTGATGAAGGCCAAATATATAGCCGAAACATGGGCAATGTAAAGTGTTTTCTTCTTTTATAGGACCGAAACACAAAAGCCACTAGACATAATGGCAATAGGGCAAAAATAATTTATTATTACTATTAATTTTATTATCACTTAGGTTGAGTGTATTCTGTGCTCTGGACTTTTCTGATATCAATGTGTAAGATTTGCATTAACTTTATTCTGCGCCTGCTTGATTACTGCTTGGCACGCTGCAAAACAAAAGAAATTGATGTGACTAAATTCAAAAATAAATACCATTCATCTCTTCCAATCCGCAATTAAAATTGTTGGCATATGTCTTCATATGTCATCTCTGTTGACATATGTAGATCTCTGCCCGACAATGCTAAACCAATCGGTGAAATAAAATAACGGCAAAATCCCAGAAAAGCACAACTTGAGTTAATGTTAGAAATGGGATATAAGGAACATTGCCTACAACGTATAAAATGCGCTCCCTCCTTTCGCTATTAGAAGTACTTGGGTACTTCACTGCTAAATGGCAGCTGAGTTACTATGAGCCAGGAACAGTTTAATGAAAAGTGGCGTAAGTGCCTTTCTAAACCTGAAAGGCATGGTGGTGGCGTTTGCTGATTTTGCTGAGTGTTGCTGACATTTCATGGCATTCATACGTGTATGTGAAGAGGTAAAAATTAATAAATGAAATGAGTTAATCTGCGACGAGGAAAAGGCGAAACCATGGAGAAGGCAATGCGCAAGTGGAGAGAAAGATGAGATGAGGCTCTGTCGTCATATCCAAGAGCGGAAAAGAAGTGCAAGGACGAGCTCAACCAACCAGCAGGTAAAATCAATATCTAAAAATTATGGAAAGAGAATTTTCAACATGTGAAAATATAAGTGTCCAACACAAAACAAAAACAAAATGCTTTTATTCGTGTGGGTGTAGATTGTTTCTAACGATACATTTTGTGAGATTAATCACAGATATTTCGTTAATGGACGATGAGTTACGATAGGAGACATCTTGGCAAAAATAGAGAAATGAAAATAAGACGGTGTAAAGTATCCTTCGACGTCGTTAAAATGATTGATCGTGCTTCGTCAAAACCTTTCCAAAAATAGAGACAGATTTCAAGGACTTCAAAACTGCAGCTGTTGTAATACTGCAGTAATATGCAAATTTCACAAGCACGGTGGATTAAAATTACAAAGGATGCGCTGGAGTAGTGAAAGTGAAGAGACATCTCAGAGAAGTTTGAAAAGACATTTGTGTGAAAGTGTGTTCAGTTTTGTTCCTATTGGACTTCGTACATTATTCACGTAAAAACGTATTAACTTATGCCTTTTCACTTTTTACTCTTTTCAGTTCTCATTCAAGTGCCATCGTTAAATAACAGTGTATATTGTAATATACACGCAATATAAATTTTGTTTGTTAATGAACTGACACCTTTCTTGTCAATGTGTTCGTAAATGCAATAAATGTATTTTTGGGGCGTTCTGAAAAATGTTCATTTTGGCACATAGCCCGTTATTTATTTCAACAATACAAATGTATAAGTGTGTAGTTTCACATACATCGTATGTCAAATAATTAATTGCATTACTCAGTTTTTCTTTGCAAGCAACTTTTTCAGATTATGCATAACAGAGTATATTTTTCGTCCTTGAAAAACACATATTTTAAACTTCCCCAAATTCATTAGAGTGTTTAAAAGTGCTCTAAAGAAGAATTTTTCGAGCACACAACGTCACCGTAAATATTTGGACATGAATTTGGAGCGGCTGAACTGAAGTTCTACCATTAATTATTGTACATACGTCTTGTTCTAAATATAAAATGTTAGTAGTATATACAATGATGTTAACGAGAAGCCAATAGTCGAGTGTACTGTAGCACCGTGTACAGCTAAAATGTTCTAGGGAGTTGGCTGGGATTCGCGAGTAGAGAGGGAAGCGAAAAGTGGTGGGTAAACAGCGTTCGGTTACGTCTGTCCACACCACAAAGATCAGTCTACCGCACCGCACGTGCTAGCGAACTTACTTGGAAATTAATTTGCTTTAGTGTCTTCGTTCGGTGGTGGAAAAACACTAAATTCACCTGATGTTCTGGCTCTGCTCTCATCTACATCTTTTTCACTGACACTGATACCCGCTATCCTTGCATCACTGTCACAGTAATTAATATCGTGTGCGCCGTTTCTGATAAAAAGATTTCTTGGTGTGGTATTAAATCTTTGGGCAGCGAATCACTCCCATTGAAACCGTCGAGAGAATATTCCATGTTCTTCCTCTTTGGAGTGGAAAATGTACTCAATTCTCCAGATTCAATAGAACTCGTTTCCTTATTATTTCTACAAATAGATATTTTCGAAAGATCCGAAGCAGTAGTCAAGAACTGTATGGATACTTTTAACACTTTCTTTTCTTTCTCTTCGTAAATTGATAGTATTATTTTATACCGATTGCGGGTGACGGACTTTCTTAAGCAACTTCCTCTAAACCGGACGCATTGCAAGAATCACTTAAACAGAACATAATGAATAGCATAAAAATGCTTCACCCTAATAGAAAACGCAACGTCAAGCTTGCACTTCACTAATTCCAAAAGTCGTGGTGAATGTTTACACAACCGTAGTAGGGCTGTCGACGCGTGCTGGAAATGGACACGCTGCCCCCAAGCCGATAATTTTCGGGAATGGAGGAATCTCTTCACCTTCAGCGGCCACGCTAGTATAATACTACTGTGGCCAGTAATGGATCCCGAAGGGTGTGGGGTGTTGAAGGGAAGTAGCTCTCTTTGCATCCAACAACGCAATAAGAAATTATCTGTTAAAGTTTGCTGGTTTTCGATCGAGTTGCGAATGTGCTGTTGGAAACATGAGAAAGCATGTGGTTGAAATCACTTCTTCACAAATATCCGCTCATCCTTCACTCTGAAAATGCAGTTTCCAAGATAATGGGGGTTAGTTTGACAACTCATGGCGAAGATGCGGTGGTTCAAGAAGCGCAGAAGCAATTACTTTACTCTGAATGAAAAACGAGACACATATTCTAAACACGCATCTGAAATGTTTTGTTTTGCCGTGCAAATGTATCAAGTTTTAACGAAATATCTAATAATATGTAAAATGTGTCAAAACATAATTTAGTGCAGGTATCTTGTTCCTGTAAAAACATGCAATTACATGAAAATCTGTTACCAAATTATGAATTTTCCGCTTAACAGTCGGTAACATTGGATTGGCCACGGAGACCAGGTAGATCAAGAGGAAGGTTTAATATTGCTCCCGTAGTGCCCCGCTGTTGCTAGTCTGCGTCACCATACAAGCCAACCGCCGCCGTCGTCGTCACCGCCGTCATCGTCGTCGTCATCGCCGTTGTCGTCACCGTCGTCGCCGTCGTCGCCGTCGCTTTCAGGCCGGCCTCACTTTGAGGGGGAGTGGGAAGAAGAGCGGGAGGATCGCCGGCATCTGCCCTCCAGTCCGGGTCGGTTGAGCGCTGGGGCAGGAAGTGGCCAAGACCTTTGCATCATGGTTTTGGGCGGCTTCTTGAAATCGGGTGGTTTCCCTTCATTAGCACATATCTCTCCACGGATATTACCCGCAAGACTTTCATTTTGCTTCCAGGCAGGCTTTAAGGTCGAGAGTGATCAGGGTTCGGCAGGCATTTTTTTTCATTTCTTGACATGTCAAAAACTTCTTACGAAATAACATTATTTCTGTGTTATTGTTGTGACATGCATTGCTGTGGAAACTTTATTTCTCTGAAAAAGTCGACTTCATACGAGTATCTGTTGTAAATATTGATTGGTGTTAAATTATGATTGTTTTTCCTTGGTTAAGCCAATGTAACCCTTTAATATTATGTACGACATATTGATTAAAGTTATTGCCTCGAATAGGAAGAAGTGTAGTAAGGTACGCGGTACATAACTCAAACAAATCCGTCTAAAATTCGACCTCTACCCCATGCACCACGGTTCTCTTGCATCCGGCATGTCTACGACAGATATGGCAAATTCCATGGGTGCCACTTACAAGAGGTGCTATTTAGAGTACTCGTATACCCGCTTAAACAAATAACAGCCACCCTAATTTCAAGTAAACTGACAGGGATGCACATTCAATGCTGACCATGAGCACTTGAATACCTACATACGACTCTGGCTTTCTCTAAATATTGCTGAAATTAGATTTATTGTAAATTCTCTAATAATTCACCAGTGTTCATTTTGTTTTTGCCTTGCTGCTTCCTTGACAAATAAACTCGTCCTTGTTTGATATATATTACAAATGAACACGTCCTCCTTTTATAACTTCGTTCCAAATCACTTTTATACGATTCATATTCTTCGCATGACTCAATGTTATATTTACGTTTCATTATATTACAAAAACTCAGAATTTAGTTTTCTGTGCATGTTTAAATTTGTAAACTTTAATTTCTATGAATCGCGCCGGTATTTACTGTTCATGCTTTGCTAGAATATCTCGCATACATTGGTAAAATAGGGCACTGTGATATTCTGGAGAAGGGTTTCAATGATTTCTGTACAATTGGTACAATTTATTGATTGATTAGAATTCCGCGTGTCAACTGCTAAGGTCATTAGTACCATAAGATTAGTGCATGCGTTCATCACGGCGGCCGATGGTGATCTCTTGCGGGCTAGTAAGATCCGCCGACCTTCGTCGGTTTGCGGGGATATCCCCTACCAGGTATTTCCCATCTGCGAGGCATTGTTGCAACCGATGCAAGCTCTAAGCTCCCGGCTGATCTCAATAGAAGTGTAGAAGTGTACTGAATGTGTGTATAAGAAAGGTTGGAGGAAAGGACAAGGAAGAGAAAGGAATGATCACGCGCGGTCCGTGGCCCGTTTGTTAGGGTACTGCTCCGACATTCGCCTTGTGTTGACCGGCGAAATCACGGAAAACTACCGATCAGAGTAATCGACCGCTAGAATTTTTATTCAAGCAGCGGCTACATTGGCGGCTAGGCGACAAGTTGATGACAAAAATCCCCCATTGTCAGGACTCGAACCCTAATACCTCTCGATCAGAGGCACTGCAATGCCTCCAGTTGATATTCTGAACCACTTTTGTGAAACCTTCAAGAAGACAGAAGGATATTATGGTTTACTTGATAGAAAAACATTTCATATCGAGAAAACGTATAAACTGAAAGCATTTAACGGAAAGTTCCCGCCAGACAATACGTGTTGAAGATTTGTGGATTTCCTTCCAGAATCCTGCTTTACTCATTCGGATTCATGCTATCTAGTCTCCTCTCCCTATACATCAATGTTAGTAATTCCCTTGGTATTTGGACCGTTTTGATGATCGGAAACTCGTAAGCTGCCACTAAAAGCACTATCCCCTGTAGCCTAAAGGCTCATTGTGTGCCATGTATTGCACACCAATTTGACTGGAGTACTGACGTGAATTAGGGAAAGGATAGGCTGAAGATAGATGGCGTAATGGAGAACATACTATAACACAACACAATGAAAAATATATATGTTTTACGCGGCATTCAGACTTGGTGCGTTGATAAGCCTTGCTGAAACTTTGGGCGCCATTCCCTTTCTTATTCAAACCTTCTGCAACCATCTCATCAATAGTCTAAGAGGTTACCTGTACCAACATAAATTCGTAGAGATTTATGTCCAAGAAAGTATTAATTTCTAATATTGACTTCAATTGCGAGAGAGTACACCGGGAGCCGCAACCTGGCAACGGATGTAGAAGACATCTTTAAATGGGTAATGATAATTTGAGTATTCCGGTAGTAAGAATACGAGTATTTGCTCCATCCCACAGATTATGTTGTAGCGCGTAATAATTTCTTATGTTGAATTTTCCTGACGTTGCCCCCTTTGATTTGCAATAGAGCTCACTCGGAATTGCAACCTGCCGAAGGACAGGTCGTTGAAGAGAACTCTCAAACGTGTGTAATTGTAATAATAATTTGAAATATTATAAATATCAACCCAATGATTGTTTATTCATGAGAATGTTGTATAAATAAAGTACTCTTTGGATTTAGATACAATGACTGCTCACACAATTATGTCAATATATTGTCACAATTGTTATAATATATATGGACATCTTATCTAGGGAACGTATCCCTGTAATTTATCATTTTTGTATGTAATGTCTCTCAAAGAACACATTGCTTTGGCGCGCAGGCGATGGCAGAAGTGGCGCCGCCGCCGATGAAGCTACGTTCTATACGTTCTATACTCCGATTCAAGCGTAGTGTCATGAGGTGGACGGAGAGGGATATCTCCTTGTCCCCCCAGAACGACAGCCAGATGTAGGAATTAAAATGGACAGGACTACATTTAAAACTGTTCCGTAGTGCGTAACTACATTTTATGTGAGTAAAACAGACAATTGTTTGATGTAACATTAAAAATTATAAATTTATTAAAAAAATAAGTATTTTTATTGTGGTAGTAGCCAATTACCAGAATGAAAGAATGAATAGACAGTGGAAAGATTAGACAAATGAATAATAACCTGGAGACGGCTCTGTGCATCAAACTACGTCACTGCAGAGTAGTAATCTGAAGGTCCTAGGTTCGAGTCTCGAAGGCGGCAGGATATTCAATATCGACTACATACCTAGGTTCTATTCTGTCACTGTGTGGAAGAGAATACTTGCGGCCGGCTGCTCTGATCGGTAATTTTCGGTGGTTCACCCAAACAATCCAAGTACCCTAATAAACGGGTCACGGGCCTCGTGCGATTATTCCTTCCCCTTCTTTGTCTTATACTCACCTTTTACACTCTTACACACTCACGTGTAATACATTATTACAAAGGCCGGGAGCCGGTCGGGAGCTTAGTGCTTGTCCCGGGCTGGGGCGGTGCCCGCTGGTGGGAAGTACCCGATTATGGAAAACCCTGTCAGCTGATAGGAAGGTAGTCGTCGGATGTCACTATCCAGAGGGGAAGATCGCCGCCACCTCCCAGGTGGAATACACTACTCTTACGGGACTAATGACCTTAGCAGGTGACGCGCCCGGAATCACTAATTAATCAACCAACAAACGACTAAGCGCAAAGTGCCAAAAACCGTCCTCGATTTTTTGCGCATACGTCTGTTTTTCATGAGGTAAAGGGCAGCGCTCTAGGTCATTTGTTTAACACACGCCTTGTTGGGGGACAGCAGATGATGTGAAAAAAGACGACCGAAGGGATCAAGCTTCGCAGAGTTTGGAGGACGAAGGGTGATTATACTTTGATTAGAGACGAATATTGGCAGATGAGGTCTAGTCGTCATAGATGATGTTAAATGATAAGAGTGGTGTAAATATCTGCGTGTGGAGGGGGTAAGAGTGGTGCTACTGCCGCGTATATGCAGAGTAGTCGACATCCAACAATTTCCGTGTTTCTATAACGATACGTTCATGGACATTAATATGCGTGGGAAGTTGTAAATAAATATAATCTTTATTTTAAATGGTGTGTACCCGGAAGTTAGGGTGTATTGTCATGATGACGAAAGAGCGTAAATGCAATGCGACTTTCAAAGACTGTAGATGATATTAATATTATGTATTTTAGGTTCGGTCCTTACTTTTGTTTGATGTTTTGGAATTACCTTATTTTTTTGATATACTAAGATTACAGAAAATATTGTAAACAAATAATTCTGATTTAAATAAACTGCAGCGTAACCCATTTTAAGCCCCCGAAAGTTGAAGTCTACGATATGGCTAATTAGTCTAAACCTGAAATCCCGTCGGGCGCAGACGCGTTTGACCTCAAAAATGTCGTTAGTCTAATTTTGTTATCGAGCAGGAAAGAAAACTTCGAAGAGGATGTATTTAAAAGTAAAATACAAAATATTAATAATAAAGTAATAACTAAAATAAAATTTGATTGCATTTGATTATCAAGTTTTTCTGATACACATTCTTAATCGTCGCTAAACAATCTAAAAATATCATATCGTAGTAAATGTTCTTCACAAAACTCCACTGAAAGTCGTAGCTCACCGGGATTGCAGCTTGCCAAAGGAGATGTGAATGACACTTAAACGTAGAATAATAATTCGTAAGATACTGTCTGGCAAATTTTCATAACAATTTAAATAACAAAATTCCGTTCCTAGCTCATCAGCGATGGTCTCAAACGCTTCTCAGTCTATTCTATATTCGTAATTGGTGGATTGTGACGGAAGTGCAGTGACGGGATGATAAGAGGCGAGATTCTTCATGTATAGTTTGATGTTTTTGTGTGTGTTCGTGTTGGTTTAGTAAACCCTATTCCTCCATTCGGGCATGCGGACCATGGTTGTGGGTGATTGTCAGAGAGACAATTTTTTTTCAGGTTATGATTGATTGTTTTGTTGCGGGCGAAGGTAGGTTGGTCATTTTTCTAGGTAAATTTCGAAATAAGGACGTGTTGTTTTGTGGTGGTTGAGGGGAATGGCTTTTGTGTGGTTATGGTTGTTTTAGGGTGGGAACGTTTTGATTTTAGCCCGGTTTTTCAGTCAATTCTTGTTTAGTCTCCAGTCGGTTTAGTGTCCGTTATTTTTTTGAAGTTGGTGGAGGTGGAAGTTTGAGAATATCTTGGTGGCGATTCTTAGAAGAGAGGGAGCGAGGGGTTCTGTTACGAATTTTGAAATGTGGTTTTATGAAAGTTTTCATAGGTTGGATCGGTTATGAATTTTGTGATTTTAATTAGGGCTGATTGCTAGATGAAAGAAATGTGTGGTATTTGATGAGCTTCACGGATGTCATTGAATTTTGCATAACTTTGAGGTAAAAAAAAAATTCTACGTACTATACTTTATAGTCGGGTGAGCAGAAGTAAGTTGGCGAGTGTTGTTGTGGGCCTGGTGCTATGTGGCTATGGAGCGGATGAAGGTATGGTAAAGAGGCTTTTTTCTTAATTGATATGGAGGTGTTGAAGAGTGTGTCGAGAGTATTGATGAGACGATTAGCTTTTTGGAGTATTTCTTGGAGATGACAGGTTTTGTTGGTCGTTTTGTAGGGCCCAGACATCGAAATTTTGGAAGGTGGTTTGGATTTTGTCGAGAAAATGGGTTAGGAGTAGACAGGAGGAACGAAAGGCAAGGTCATCGGCGTAGATGAACTCTTCAACTTCGGTTGTTGTTGGTTCGTTGTTTATGTAAAGGAAGGAAAGTGGAGGGGATAGTACCGTGCCCAGATGGACGCCACTTTTGATAGACTAAAAGGGAAAAGATTTGTATTTGAAATATTTGATGAAAAAAATTCGATTAGTAAGGTAGCTGTCGAAGAATGTTAAGAGCTGGGCAGGGGGATACGTTTTTAGTTTAAAGAGAAGAATGTGGTGAGCTAGTGTCGTATGCATGGGAGAGATCTGTAAGGATGACGGGAGTTTCACGTTTAAATTGAAGAGATGTTGCAACAGAGATTGTCATTCGAAACGTTTGGAGATCTGCTGATCGGCCCTCCTGAAAATCAAATTGTGAAAGTTTGATGTAAGTTTTCTCTTACGATGTTTATGAACCTAGATATTTATGTTCGCGTTCCAGTTCTGGCAAAAATTGCTTTGGGTTGATCAGTTTTTTATATTTTAAAGATTTTGTAAGAATAGATCACTATACCCTGAATTCAATTGAAGAATTACATTTTCTTTTAAACTTTTAAAATTGTTTAAGTATTGCATTACATACATTTAGAAATCGGATACATCCTTTCTGTTACACACATTTTATAATTCTTGCTGACTTTCATGTGGAAGAGAAATACAAATAGCCTCTCGAGTTTACTTGTCTTTTGCGAAAGTACCTGTGGTACTTCATAAAGATACGAGAAAGAATATGTTACGGAAACATTAAGCGAAATACTCATACGTTGACTACCGAGGCGAAGAGTAGTGTTAAAAGATAATAATAAAACATCTGAATTTGTAAATAGTTAATTTAAGATCAACACATGTTTTTCAAAATGTAAAAACATGATTTGATCCGGTTGTAACACCTCAATATGTGGGGTACAGATAATTCCATTACCCTTTTGTTTCGTTTGTTTTCTAAGTATAAAACGAGTATATGTGCAATATTGTTAGATGTGAATCGGTGGAAAGTGTGTGTGCAATTTCACGAATGTGATGAAGTACGTTCTTGCTATATCTGAATTGCGTACGTAACTGAAGTAATAATAATATATATTTTTATTCACGTTCTTGATCCTAAGTTAGCCAATACCATTTGTTTCATCTAAGCATTTTTAAACAGTAACTAGATAACCTTTTTAATGTTGTGATCTTGTATGTTCTCATGGTATTTACTGCTTACTTCGATTGTATTTTGTGTTGGGTGTATCCGGGTAAGGTGGTGAAAAGTGCCCCTAAACCAAATCGATATTCGCAATGCTCATATAAAAGAATATACAAAATGTCGTATATTCGCAAAAAATAGCCTCCTAGGAGAATCTGTTGCAGAGATACGAGAATCGTGTTTTTTGTATTTTATTTTTCTCAGTTTTTATTGCATATATCAGATTTAAAAAATTAGAAACGGGAAGATGTCAATCACTGTATTTTCTACATTTTTATTGTAGAAATAATTGTTATCCTGGATCAAATGTATCCTTGAATAATGAGTAATAAAATAGAAGCCAGTGTCTTATTTACTGCTTTTAAAACATTCGAAATAACATTCTGCTTACTGCTTAGAACATGAATGATGTGGAGGAACTTTTACTACATTGTTTTTCCTTATTGAAAATAAATTTTGTCTATTTCGACAGTGGTATCAGATTTTCAAATTTTCGTAGAATTTTTCATTCACATGTCAGCACACACTTCATACATATAATTGTAATAATTTGTATTATGATTTATTTTTTATTCATGTTCCGAAAAATACAATTTGTTAAACTCTTCACCTGTAATGGGTAGATGGGGACATTATAAATTGCAGTTTTGAACCAGAGAAATATATGGCCACATATAGCTTTATATTCATTAAATTGTCTGTTAGATCAAATCGTTTTAGTGTTCTATAATTTAACATAATGTCACCACATAATAGGTTTTTCTTTATAACAAATTAATAAATTCTTCCTCGAGTTTATGATTTTCAGAAAAAATTTCTTTATCTTCTTCTTTAACAGCACTATTCAATTTTTCATCATTCCAAACTCTGTTGGTTTTGAAAACAAGATGACAACGATATACAAATAAGAAGAACCTACTCACCTGAGGAAAATGATATTAATATATTCTAGTAGCTTGGTCTTCACTATCGAGCTGCCCCACCCCCAAAGAAAAAAAATCAAACTTGAGACTTGGTCAATCATATATTTTGCAAATTCAGTTAGTTATGTATAATTTGAAAATTTAAAACTTCCTATCTTGATGGTCACCATGTCTTGCTAGAGCTTCCGTTGAACTCGCCAATTTTCTCCAGAAGACAATGCGTTCACCCATCGGAGGACTGCGAATCTGTAGTTGCACGTCCATGTCCATGTAGCGATGTCCTTGAAGTGTGTAAAATGGCCACTGCAGCAAACCACTGCCTGGAGGCGTGGGATTTCTACGACAAACATTGCAAGAAAAATGAAAAGGATTTTCTATATAATTGAGACTAATTCATTAATGTGAGTTAAATTTTTGCGTTCCTTAATTTAATTTATAAATTAAAAAACGATATTATTAGTTATAAATTTATTGTGAATTTCAAAAGCGTATTTTTTATCGTTAATAAGTTAGTTTTTGTATTACTAAAACATGCATCTTTCTTTGGTAAAGTTTTACCTGATACTTGAAATTACGTACACCTACGGAACTGTTGGCACTTAGGCGGTCAAATTAATTCAAATTTGGCGCCACACTTGGAGCTCATTAAATTTCTATTCTTTGAAGATATTTAAGAAGAAAAGATGCAGTTCAAACTTCCTGCCTTCGAGATTTTGTCCAAAACTCGCGAATTCTCTTACAAGTAGCAAAGAATACATTTCGTATTAAACTCTTTGAAATGGACCTTGAACTGTTTTCAAAGGTGACCGGTAAATTGCCCCACCTCCTGGCCTACCGACGACGAAGTTTGCATATTGTAAGAAATGTCTCGGAATCCATACTTTTACACATAAGACGCGACGAGATCGCATCGTTTGATAATCTGGAGCCGCCTACTATTTCGTAGCAATCGTGTAGAGAAGCCGAGCAATACGCGTATTGAGCGCATTGAAGGTTCGGCTACGTCGGCACGCATTGTCACGTGGGCACCGTGAAACAGCCATTCGAAACGCGGCAGGAAGCAGTGAGCACAAGTACGAAGTATGAATGCGTGGAACGTAAGGAGAACGTTTATTTTCGTCCAGACCGAGGTAAACACGACACTTTTCAATAATTCTTACGGCAAAGCGTTAATGTTTGTCAATCCTGATCTATTATTATTTTATTTTAATGTATATTTCTTTGCTTTGAAGAGAAAATGGGATTTAATGTAGCCAATTTGGGGCAATAACTGTCAACTGACTTCTCGAAAAAGACTGTTACGGGTCAGGCATACTGCAGTGGCGCACTGCCACTCCAGAGAGTTTTGTACAACCCTTACTTTTAGATCTCGCGCCAATTTCTCCAGACGGTGTGCCCACGTGATCCAGTTATCTTGTTGTTTCCCTAGAATGCTAAGGTTGTAGACACTGGAGCCAGTGTTTGACGGTAGGTTTCGTGAGTGCATGCGTGTATGTATTCAAAGGAGAAATATATATTTTAATGATAGTCAAGGGAGCGTCGTATATTAAAAAGTGTTGAGTCCGTTTTAAATGTCTTCGGTTTGTCATTATAGCTGGTAATTGAAACATAATTTGTAGGTTTAAACTCTGGTGGAAAATGTTGAACAACAGTGTTGCCATGTGATCTTAAGCTTTCCTCACTAGATTGGGCTGCGAAAACTACTACCGCGACAAAAACATTAAATTAAAATTTCAGATCATGATTTTTTCATGTTTAAAGTATACGGGGAGGTATGAAAAATAAAGAAAAACAAGAATATTGTTAACTCTTTATGACGATATTTATATTTTTCACTCATCGCCCATATTTTTAATATATAAAATTTGTATAACAACTATTTATATAATAATGTACATACTATTTACACTCAATGTTTAAGTTTTGTTTTAAGGAGTTTTACACTGTGCACGAGTTATGACACGTAAGACGTATAATTATCTCACTCATTCAAGTGACTGAAAAAGAGTTAATGATATCTCTTTAAAGAAACTATCCTTCAACCGGAATCATTGTTTTCATTACTTGTTTAGTCCTGTGATTTATTTCTTTTCATCAAATGTGTCGCCCTCTACCAGTTGTGGCAAATAATCGCACAATTTGGAACGAGAGAATTCTTTCATATGATCTTATCCGCCTATAAGTGTTTTTACTACGCTTAATTACATTTTAATAAATATGCCAGCATAAATACAGGAACTATGTTTGAGTTTTGTGACACACAATACATATTTTTTTAAATAATCTTTAAAAAACCACCCAAAATCCGTAAATTAGTCACCCGCTTTTAGTTGATATTTCATATTATATATCCACCGAATCCGAAATAAATCCTACCCTGAGAACACTGGTAAGAGTCACCATTACCGTTATAATGATATGCGACTGTAAATACCCTATAATTTAATGCAGATGTTTTATTTTAATACAGAATATCAGTGATCTAATTTCCAGAGTTCAATTTTTGCTTTCATGGTAAATACCTAACTGTTCATTATGTATGTGATTAATTATATTAATTAATATTCTTGTTACGTTGGTTGTGTGTTTCTCTCGCTGTCACAATAGTTTTACTATTAGTTGCCTAGTATTCTCATTGAAGTGAAGTGCGGGCATGCAGGTATTTAGCGTGTGTCAGGGCGGAAGGGCTTGGAAACGCTGCCTCTACCGAGACTGATCGACAATCACAATGTTTGTTGCGTGATATGTAGTTTATTGTCCCAGCGTTTGGCTGTACTTACCCAAGTTTGATCATATTAGCGAAAATGTCCGCCTGTCGATCCCTCAGAGGCTGCTCAGCGGCCGGCACAGGGCGTGGTGCATTTGTCGAAGGGTCCATGGAATCGAAAACATACACCAGGTCGTCTCCGTGGGCCACGCCGGCTAGGTGTGATACATTGTAAAAGATATCCTTGGCAAATGCAATGGGCCCATCTCGGGAGAACTGGTAGACATAGACCGGCGCGGCCTGCCTTGCCATGATCTCCGCCGACTGGACGGTACCAAGGGCGATGCCGATGTCGGTGAAAAACTGGGCAAATCAAGCTGAAGTTTAATTTGTATTCGTGAGTGAAAGCCTTCAAATAGCAATATCGCTGTGGCAAAAGTCGGGAGACAGTCTCCAGACCTTTCCCACCCACAACAAAACTATTGATGACGGCAGAGAAGTCGAAAACCGACTCTCAAAATAAATATGTTATTTTGACGGAGATGACTTCCATTATATCTTCGTGTAATTACGTCAACAATATTACAACAGCATTCCCACATTTGAGTTAATATAAAAAATATCTTGTCAGACTGGTGATGCTTTGTCTCGCAGTTGTGTATCATTTACTATATAAAAAAATCAACGTGAACCACTGATGATTTATAGGCAGCGTACTCATAACGTGTAATACATTTTAATGTAAAATGTGTGTATTAAAGTCACTGATAATGTGAACAAAAATTTAACACCCGAAACGTCACATAATGTGTTCTTCAAGAATAAAATGGTCAAGAAATTGCAATGGGATTTTTGTATATTAACGTAATAGTTATTGACTGTCATCAATAAGAAAAGCTACATTCCTCTATATAAGACGCATACATATATTTTCTGGGGAAATCAAAATCAAAATCAAAAAATCTGTGAGTGGATGTTTGTTTATATAGAATACATGCAATTAACTTACAAAGTTTATTAGAATGAATCATAAATCTGTACCTGAAGTCTAGCAATTCTTTTAAATGAAAGTAACCGACGAAGAATTGAATACTATGTTTTAACATAATCGTTAAACATAAAGTTCATTTATAATTTCACATAATCACAGGAAAATGTGTTTCAAATACGTCAACATAGAGGAAAATTGTTTTCTCCATATTAAAAAGTAGATTTCACGTGTAGATGTCCTTTGCCATATTACGTAGTCATCAATAATGTTGCAGCAATAATCTTTTGACGAAATGACTTTCATTTTCTCTTCATTTACTTAGCGGCTGCCTGCTCTTACTAACCAAGGCTACATTTATGTATATAATAATATAATTAAGGACGAGTAAACATTTACTTCAATACGTATGCGTATACCCTTATGCGTTCAGACCCTATGAATCTGTGTGAAAGGGGTTAGGCCCATTTATCAGGTCATCTATGAAACGGGTGGATGAATCTATGAAAGATGAATAAAACCTAATGTGAATGAGATCTATGAAACCGAATGATGCTGGTCGGGCGATACTAACAGGCCCATTAGCTCCTTTGTGCCGACAACTTATTCTGAAAAATAAAGTAATGTATTACTCTGGAAATGTGTGATTTCTGTATTCAATGAAGCATAGTTGTATAGGATGGCAAGTGGAATGATAGACTTTACGTGTTTTGGACCTCAAAATACTAATACCATTTTGTTTTAAAAATCAAATAATGAATATTGTACCTATATTTGCATTTTTGATTGCAACAATGATTCAGCGAATCCAGAAATACACAAATCCGGTATAATATATTACTTAATTTTGCATAAGATGATGTCGACACAAAAGACATAATGAATTCGTTAGTGTTGTTCGACCCGGTTCGTACAGTTATCTGTCAAAACCGTTCGACCCGTTTATAACGGACGAAAGATTTCTCCATGTTAGATAACGATGTTACGAGAGACGTACCGTGCGCAGCCCTGGTGGCAAGCGCCTGCGCGGCCTCAGGTTCACAACAGATTACCCCGAGGAATGTGCGAAGAAGCATATTGAAAATAGAATCAAAGGTGACATGGACTCCCTCGCTGTTGAGTTTCCCGCTCGGGTTGGTAGGCAAGCGTGTTTCCTGGGCAGATTTCTACCTTTTCGTTTGCTAACTGACATTAAAGCGCTTGCTACCCCGGGTAAACACTAAACAGCGCTTCAAAACTGAAGTTATAAGGTTCAGCAGTGAAAAAAGTGATATCCAAACAGTTTCTTAATTTTTTTATTTCAAACGGAAATGAATTAGAAAAAAATATGTACGAATTTACCCGAATTTGTATAGCACCAGTGAATAATGAATATAAAAATTTAAGAAAAAAATTGAGTTATTTTGAATAAATTGAATTATTACATTCATGTAAATTATTTATTAATTGTGAGATTTATGAATTCTTTTATCACCTCCATTTATTAATAAGTCAACCAGTAACAAGGGTGCAGGTTCTGAAGCTTAAAAAGTACAATTTCTGTCCTCCTCCATACATCAGTTAAAAAAATTCCTATTACGTTAAATAAACAACTATTAAATACACTGCAGTATTGTATTTCGTTTCCGACAATTCAAACCTTTGATGCAGAGAATTTACTATTAAGCAAAGCAAGTATTTCACAGGTTAAAATTACAAAAGAATATTTAAGAGAATAATGAATAGGGCTTGCAAGAGGATATCATAGCAAACTCTGCAATCAATTCCTTCGTCTTTTAAGGTTCCTCGCACCAAGAACGCATATCGAGACATCAAATGACCTATTTCTAGTGTGTGAACGCTACTTTGCTTGCCTCATCGCAAATGTCTCGCAACGCATCTCTCGGCGTATTGTGTGGATTAAATGAAGTGACTCGCGGTCACGAGCTGGAAGGAGAGGGAACACTTCCACCCAATCGGGAGCTCCACTATCAAAAATTTTGATCGTAACGCAGCTTCATTCCTGCTGCCCTTTACACTACAGTTATTTAAATATCTTGAAGGTCAGGAGCTGGACCGGGGTGGGGGGCACTGTCATCCAACTGGGAGCTACTTAACGACTTAACATTTTGGTATTGGAGCGTTCGGTTGTGTTACAATGACTCTCTATTCTTCCAGGTTGTGATCTTGAAGAGCTAGTTCGTTTAAATCGAAGTTGTCTAGAGGGCCTTTCTTCGAGGGATTACAGGGACCGCGTGCGGCCGTCGGCTGTTTTTCGCAGAAGGCCGGGCCGTAGTCCGTTGCGTGTCGCCTGATCATACCTGAACGACCCTCTGCAGGGTGTCGAGGTTCTCGTTGGCGTCACGCAGAGTGCGGTCTCCCAGATAGAAGCTCCGCATTTTGCGCACGGCCTCTGGAGCGCGCAGTCCAGAGGGCATCGAGTTGATGAAGGTCGCTTCAAAATTCTTGTCCAGCACCGCCCACCCCGACGAGTTGGTCAGGAGGTTTCCAACTGTGAAAAAGAAGATTTTCATCTTTTAAAAACATTTTATTCACCTCTTCGGCATTGTTGCCTTTCAGGAGTATTAAAGAATTAATATCTTTACGTATTTTATATCAGTGCCGATGGAATTTTTAAGGGATTCAAAGAATGATTAGAAAATGTTTGTAACAACATCTTTGGTCGGAATAATTTTATTTCTCTACAAAGCTGGGTACCATGGGTCTTTAGCTACTCTTCGTAACATTTGTTTTGGTTTATTTACTGTTTCTTTACGTGGTTCGCAGATACTTTAGACACAACACATTTAATATAAGTTTCATCTGTAATTGTTTTGCTATGGGAATTTAGAATCAAACGTGGTTCCTAGATATTTTACTGGTATATTTCTGGGTAAACATTCGCTACTGGGTGAATTTTAAATTTGTAGAGGAGGTTGTTAGTAAATTTTGTTGTTGTTAATATTTGAATAGTGATTTGCACTAACATGTATTTTCTATTTCTCTGTCCATTGTATGTAGTTTTATAGAGCAATTCATCGTATGCGCAAAATATACCTGAAGTCAGTGTAAATAGAGTTTTTTGTCTGCAAATTGCAGCAATAATATCTGTATTCATTATTAAAGTTTGATATATCTGGCAAATATATAATAACAGAAGTGGTGGCAGAAACGCCTAAAATTATTTATGTTGAAAAGAAGGGTGTGTCTCTCACATCGTTAATACTTACATTAGCGGCAATTTGTTCACATGTTTATAAGTACATTTGCTTTAAATAATGTCATAAAGATACTGAAATTTCGCACTTTCAGAAACGCTCAAACACCATTTCGTCAAAAATGGCTCGAAAGGTTTTCTTCAAATTTTTCGAAAGGATAGTGTTAATTGCACTCTTTAATATGAGGTAAACTAAATTTCAGGGTATATTTTTGTTTTGTTTTTAAAATTACACAAATGTATTTTTTTTAAATCTCTCACGCCAGTAATGTGCACATTTCCAGCAATTTGTAAACGCTA